TAGATAACCCTGTATTTGTCAGATAAACATCGTGTTTTATCGGTATAATAGTAGAGAACAGGTACTAGTTTATCGTGTGAGTTGGCAGCTGTTCTCTACTATTGTACGGATAAAACATGATGTTGTTCGGGCCAATTCAGGGTCATCTAGGATCCTCTCTTATATGGCCCGAACAATAGTATGTTTTATCCTTACAATACGAGTGCATCAAAATGGGATACCATACTGACTGGTCACTCCCATATATTATAAAGAGTTTTCTATATGAGAAACATAATGAAAAAAAAACAATGACTTAACGAAGAAATCAGTAATGAATAAAAGAAAATGTTAGGCAGAAAGAACAATGCTATTAGCCATTCATCATAGTCTAACATAGCAACATTAATAATTATCCTTCATTGTTCTTCCGAACGTCAATGAAGATATGAAGGTATATATAAATAGAAACGAGTAGACAGTATGCATTAGACATGGAAACTTCTTCGAATAACTTAATCAATATACTCCATTTGCCCAATGAAATCTTACTGACCATTATCACGAAATTGAATATGGTTGATGTTCTTTATTCACTTGTGGATGTCAATGAACGATTGAATCAATTAATATTTGATCCTTTTTATGTTCTTAATCTGGATATGACAATGAAATCATCGTATGATGATACTTTTTCGATATCTGATAAAGTTCTTGATAGAATATGTAAAAATGTCTTACCTCGAATTCATCATCATGTGAATAAACTTACTGTTGAACCACATTCATTAAAATATATTCTTCGTAATTTCAATATTTATCCTCAACTCTTCTCGTTATCATTTATTAATTTTCAAGAAGAAATACTTTATCAATATTTAACAGGTATACTATTTTATTTCGTTCATTTTAATCAATAAAATAATGAAATAATCAGACATGCATTAATACTAATCTTTGTTTATTTTTATTTTTCAAACTAAAGGTGATTCAAGTCTTCATCGTCTTCTCACAGAACAAATTACACATCTTAATATTCTTATTCAAAATGAGATAATACCAACATTTTTTGAAACTTTATCAGATGTATTCATATTGATTTTATCTTCATGTAAACGATTAATCAGTTTGGATTTTTTTCAATTATTTCCTGATCAAATGTGGTCAGGTAACATTTTTACTCTACCATCAACAAGTTATACGTCTTTAACTTTGACTCAATTAAAAATTAATGTCAAAACTTTTCATGCTTGTCTTTATCTTCTTGATGGACGTCTCCATAATTTATCGACCTTAATTATTAATGTGTCAAATATCTCTCGTACATTATCAAATATAGATAAAATAGTAAGTATATTTTCGATCATTGTACGTTTAAAGAAAAATGTTCAACTATATAGATAGTGATATTATTAATTTTATTTTCTTTATAGCAAAAAATTCCCAAATTGAAATATTTTTCATTGACTTCTCTTGATGATACATATAATTATGATGATGAAATTATTCCATTACTCCATCGTATGATGAATCTTGAAGAATTGATGTTATGTTTATCGATAATAAGAGTTGACTTACCTTATATTGATGGTACACATTTACATGAAGAAATTCAAAGTCATATGCCACGATTAAACAAATTAATTTTTAGTATAAATACAACTATTGTCAAAAACAACATTAACATTAATTTTCCATCTAATGAAGATATTCAACGTACTTTTATCGAAAGAGGATATCAACAAGTTGGTTCATATGTTGATTCTACAGTACAAGAAGGTCAAGGAAGATGTCACGTTTATTCACTTCCATATCAATTCGAAAATTTTCTTCATCTTAATAATTCTTTTCAAGGTGGTACGTTTAATAAAGTTCGATACTTAACTATGACTGATGACCGTCCTTTTGAACATGAATTTTTTAAAATCATGTCACAAAATTTTCCTTTTCTCAAAACCTTATCGATATGCAATAAAAAACCACAAAAAAATAAGCAACATTCGTCAAAATTGATTAAATTTCCTCATCTTACTACTCTCAATTTGAATCTAGCACATATAAACTATGGTAAACAATTTCTTTTGGAACAAAATACTTATCTACCTTGTTTGTCGATTCTTAAAATCAGATACAAAACACTTACAAAAATAACAAAGAACTTTACCAACAATGCAGCACGTCTCAATTGTAACAAATTAAGATATCTGCATATGAATGGATTTGATCATCTTCCATCGAATTTTCATCACTATTTTCCTTCATTAAAATCATATTTTGGTTACATTTTTATTTAATAAAATAAAATAGTTTATGAAAGTAAAATAAATCATGGTATTAAGTCAAAATATTCTTTTATCTAGGCTATACTTGTACAAGAGTAGTTTTACTGTTATTGTTACGGCTTAAACAATAGTAGAAATAAAAATAATACCAGTTTGACTAACAAATAGCATTTTTCTTATTTAAATCAGAAATCTTTTGAAAGAAAAATATTTTATTCTGTATATTGGTTACACTTTTCGTTATAACCAAAGACAAATTACAAAATGAATCAATAAAAACTTCATAGAAAGATGAATACGTATCATTTTCTGTTTATCATTAGTTGATGAACTTATATAATTGTTAATGAATAGAGTAAAAACATTTAAATAATCTTTGTAGATTCAGATTTCATTAAAAGAAAATAGTTTTGACAGATATCATATAAATATCAACAATTATTGACATTCATCGCTTCATAATACAGCTATACTAAATATAATTCGATATATACATTTTTAACTTAGTAAAATAAAATAATTAATGCAAAAATCTATTGCTGGATTATCAGTTATACTTTTTTTCATAGTTCTTAATTTTATCGAAAAAAAAGATCATCGAGATGAATATTTTTCAAAGACACACATAATAAAAATTATTTTTTACAGCCTCATGATATTCAAATTTTTGGAGTATTAATACTTATTAGATATTGACAAAGACACTTATTCGCTTCTTCCTAATCATCTTGCACAGATTGTAACTAGAGTGTGAGTATGGATGTCTCTTTTAGACCCCTACCTATACCCTTTTGAAATTAGTTGCTTGTTAGTCCAGTCTTATCCTACTTTTCCAGTTACATCTATTTCTTCTAATGTATAAAATAAGACCAAATCAGAATACATAAATGTTATTTTGATTGAAGGCGTCCAATAATCGATGCTACGAAAAAATGTTTCCAAAAGCCATTAAAGGTCTTAGCGACATATCAGATTTCAAATAGATACGAACATTAAAAAAATTGTTGTATTCAATGAAACTTGTCAGAATGACGAGAAAACACTGGTTTGAAGGCATTTAGAAATGAAATCAATCCGATTTACTCCTACCCTAACTTTACATAATTTTCGAAACTTAACATACAAAAAACTGACAATGATCTTGTTCGACATTTCGAAAAATCTACTCTTGTAAACGAGCAAATAAGATACTCGTTCGCCAGATATAATACATATGCTGACATGTGGTAGTATCGTTTTTGTTATTCATGTTTTTTTTTCTTGTCTCCTCTGTTTTTGCAATTTCTCTTTCTTATTCTTTGATCTATCTTACTTCAGCTTGGTTATTGGCACTTTCAAGCAACTCATATAACATCATTTGTTTTTTCAATTTTCTCCAGATGAGAATAAACCAAGAAATAACTGACTTTCTTTTTTTCTCCTTTCTTCTTTTATAAATGCCAGTGTTTACTTTAATAAGCTAGATCATTATTCTTCAAAAAAACAAAAACAAATGAAGCACACAACAAGAAAATCATGATTTCATCGTAGAAAAATATTCTACCCCGAAATATTTGAGTTTCTCTGAAGTCAAACTTCGTTATATATTCAATTTTGTGTTTTTGCTTTGTATATTTGGTTTTCCTCACTACCAGTATACATAGAAGAATTGTAATACAGGTTTGAATTTTGCCAGTTTATTTTCAGTTTTTCATTTATAGTATCAACGCAATCTTAACTACAATTGAGATTATGTCAGATGAGTTAAATATCAGAACAATTTATTTTAAAACAACGAATTATAACAACTGTTTAAGCTTCTAGTATACGTAATAAAATCAATAAAGTTGAAACTTTCTTCACATCTTATCACGACAAGATCATACGTTTATGCCTTTTGTGCAAGTTGGAAATTTTCAAACTACATGATTCTTCATGTCAGTCATGCTCATTAATTTTCGTACTAGTTAGAAAAATACAATCATATAATTACTAGCTTCAATTTATTTGTTTACTAGTCAATAGATAAATAACAATCATGAAGTTATTATCAAACAAGTAACTTTTAGTTTCCTAATAACAAGTAAATAGAACTTTTTCGAAGTACTTCGTTACTATTAATTTACAATGAAAGTAAATGAATTACTCCTAATTAGAATTTTAAACGATGTAGATCTATCTGAAGTCTCGAAGTTTTATTTTGATTGATTAGTTCATCGAAAACCCTAACATGTATAGAATCTTATTTTCAGGGTGTGGGTGTGGGTGCCGGTTTAGCTCTTCTCTTCATCTACACCCACACTCACACCCACACCCCACACCCACCCAATATATATAGTATAGAATATTGATTCACATATTACTAAGTATGTTCTTAAATGACACTGAAATAAAACCAAAGAAAATTTTTGTATGAACATTTTCATCAGGTTGTATTGAAATCTATTACCGTTCGATCGTTTACAGCTAGTTAATGTTCTATTTGTAAAATCCATGCATTTATACTACTGTTAGCACATATTTCACTAGATATACCGTCGGTAAACATGTGTGACAATATGCATATATTTGATACATATTCATTTTGATTCTATAACCTTTTAGACCAGAGGTCATATTGCTTTTATTTTAAAGCGTAGGACACGAATTCGTTCTTCGACAAATAGAACTTTATGAATGATATTATATTGATGCATACATAGCAGATTTACAATGTCACTCAGATCAAATACTATATTCCTGTCCAATACGTGAAACACAAAATATTGAACATTGAAGTATCAAATTTCATGCACATAGCAGCGCTACATGTTCACCAATTGAAAATTTTGCAATCGATCACCATTAACCTGTCTAGTTCTATAACCTTCCTCTATGAAAATCGCTAAAGTGTCATCTTTTAACTATGCCTTTATCAAAAGTTTCGGCCTAGGAAGGTTTGGATACAAGTAAGTGAAATTTTTCTTGTGTATCCCTTCTACAGCAATCATGTTTTACACGCCACCCACATTGTTTTGAACTGAAGAATGAAGGCTTCTTCGAGTCATGTTAGTCATATGAAAATGGCATCCATAGAGATTATATGCTATCCAAACAACGCATTTTGTTCATTTTTTAATTCTTTATCTTTTGCTGTATTTGATTAAAGATATAAATGATATTCTGAAACGGCAAACTACAATAATGTTTGTGAGGTAACTTCTGTTTCTTTTTCTTTTCATAATAAATGTATGATAGAGTCAAGAACCCCTATTGACCAACTTTTCGGTAGTAAATCCAGTTGAACTAAGTGTTTGAGGTTGTTATTCATAGATGACGGTCTGTGAAGCCCGCACGAAAAGCAATCAAAAATTGATATTTTGTCTTCCATATCGTATACACTAGGATCGTCCTCTATTTTTCTATGAAGGTACTTTTGTGCTATGATGCATTTTTTCAAGATTCAATTTTATCAAACATCTTCTTGCAAGAAATATGAATTTAAATTGCTGCTTTAATTGATCCGTTTCATGTGGTCCATATTCAGGCAAGTGACAACAACACGTTCTCTATCGGTTTTCACAATTTATTTGAACATGCTTGCTTACTGTGTAAAGTAATTGCACAGCCAGAAATGGCGCGGACAGGAAAGTCATTGAACAGACCAATAGAAGATTATTGCACTTGCATAAAATGTTATTTTGCATCTCACAGCTTTGCCGCATTCTTTTTGCCTTTGGAAGTCCACTGGATTTGCCATGTTCATTGTCCACATCCTATCGCATTTGATAGAGATAACAAGAATGTACCTTTTGATCGAAAACCGATGAATTATTGATATCGCATACTTGATCTAACACGACATTGTAAATGTCAATCAACGAATGACGCAACAAAAGGGTGTGGGTGACTCGAAGACATTACCCACACCCACACCCCCTTCTATATAACTGGACATATTCTTTTGGAAGTTTTTGTGTAAGGATATCAGGAATGATTCAATAAAGTGTTACCGAAGTTAAACACATTAGAAAAAACTCAAAGCTTGAAAATAAACTATTTACTACTTCTTGAAAATAAAAAATGACCAGAAATTCAAAACGTATGAAAAAAATCCGAATCTGTTTTTACAGCTTCGCCAAAAACATATTATTTTCTCTTTTAGATGTATAATAACAGTTTTAGACAACGCTCTTAAGTTTTTTTCTAATGAATGAAAAGTTGAAACTATTCATTATGACCAGGAATGAAATAGATGGTTAAGTTAAAAAACGGTGAAAATATAAAAATTTCTTCTCTGTAAGTGACTTTCTGGGCACCCTCTAACTGGTTGTGATACGAAGTTTGTGTTATTTATTTCTACACTTATTATTCAAGAGAAACTAAAAGTCGAAGGGAATAATTTATGTAGTACTTTCAACGAAAAGATCATCAAAACAAAAAAATATACTTGTGTGGGTAGCCTGGAACATGCAGTACAAAGATAAAACTTCGGCAAATCAAAACCAGTAGTAGCAGAGTTTGAAAATGTCAACTTTTTTCAAGAATGAGTACTAAGCTGAAGTCACATTGTTTGTCATCTTTTGGTTTAACACGAATAGGGCACAAGTGCTACCACACGACAGGGTGTGGGCGGGTGTCGATATTGCTGAATCAAAGACATACACCCACACCCTCGATTTTCTTTGATCAAACTTTATATCATATTTCTACTTCCTGAAAATATATGGGAACACGTGACTAAATATGTGCTTGCAAACATACAAGCAAGCAAGTAAAATCATTTTATTTCATATGAATCTCCCTTCAGTTGAGGAAATAGAAGCAGTTTCTCCATTATTACAAGCTATCCGAACAGACTTGATTTGACAAGAATGGCAAATAAAAAAAGATCTGGAAAGTATGATTTCCTTTCAGGATGTGAATTGATTTTTGTTATTTTTTTCATAGGACCAATAACAGTATTCAAATAGGGGAACGAGAAAAGCAATACTTTTCTTCTCCTTGTTAACTCGAGTGGAAGGAAGCGGTGGAGAAAAAAAATCTATCGATGC